TGCCTGTAATCCCAGCTACTCAGGAGGCTGAGGCAGGAGAATTGCCTGAACCCAGGAGGCAGAGGTTGCGGTGAGCCGAGATCACACCATTGCACTCCAGCCTGAGTAACATGAGTGAAACTCCGTCTCAAAAAAAAAAAAAACTTTCACCAAGGCTTGGGTGGGCAGGGCCTGCCCAGGGGATGACCTGGGACCTGGGTGGGAGTCAGGGGGTCCAGGCCCAGATAAGAGAAGGGACTCAGGGACCAGAGTGGGTGTGACTATGTGCCAATAAAACTTTATTTACAAAAACAGGAGGAGGGACTGTAGTTTTCCTTTATTTATTTTTTCTTTTCTTTTTTTTTTGGGGGGGTGGAGCGTCACTCTGTTGCCCAGGCTGGAGTGCAGTGGCACAATCTCAGCTCTCATTGCTACCTCTGCCTCCCAGGTTCAAGCAATTCTTGTGCTTCAGCCTCCCCAGGTAGCTGGGATTACAGGCACCCACCACCCACCAACCACCACCCACTTTTTTCTTTTCTTTTTTTTTGAGACAGAGTGTTGCTCTGTTGCCCAGGCTGGAGTGCAGTGGCACAATCTCGGCTCACTGCGACCTCCACCTCCTGGGTTCTAAGGATTCCCCTGCCTCAGCCTCCTGAGCAGCTGGGATTACAGGCGTGCACCACCCTGCCTGCCTGATTTTGCATTTTTAGTAGAGAGACAGGGTTTCACCATGTTGGCCAGGCTGGTCTTCAACTCCCAACCTCAAATGATCCACTTGGCTTGGCCTCCCAAAGTGCTGGGATTACAGGAGTGAGCCACCTCACCCGACCAATTTTTGTATTTTTTAGAAGAGACTGTGTTTTACCATATTGGCCAGGCTGATCTCAAGCTTCTGTTCTCAAGCCATCTGCCTGCCTTGGCCTCCCAAAGTGCTGGGATTATAGGCGTGAGCCACTGCGCCCCACTGTGTTTGGCTTGCCAAGGCGGGTGGATCACGAGGTCAAGAGATCGAGACCATCCTGGTCAACATGGTGAAACCCCGTCTCTACTAAAAATACAAAACATTAGCTGGGCATGGTGGCGCGTGCCTGTAATCCCAGCTACTCAGGAGGCTGAGGCGGGAGAATTGC